AGTTTTAGGGTATGACATGGTGAATTCGGTTTTCTGCTAACGCCATCCTGAGTCAGCAACATAGAAGTCAAGAAGAGGATCTCATCACAGAAGGGCTGAGAAGATGGAAAGAAGACGGGCAGACTGTCACAGGAACAAAGTCCCCAGAGCAACAAGAAGCATGTTTCTACTCTGTAAGAGGACTCCTGTGACCTTGGTCGACCAGATCCACACCTGGGGTAAGCTGGGTGACAGACAGGAGCGGAGCCCGTGGGTGCTCCCAAGCACATCAGAACTCTGGCTCCCAACCCCTTGTCTGGGACATACCTCTATGCTGGCACCTCCACTGTGGCCCAGGTTCCAAACGAAAGCTTCTACAGCCTGTGCCCACATGGCATTAACAGAACTCAGTTTACACTCGCGGGTAGCAGTGAGCCCGGGACCCCTAATCGAACCCAGTGAAGGCCCTGCCACAAAACCACTGGAAGAACAAAATAAATCTCTCCCCATTGCAAAGGCAAGCCAGAAGATCCTCACAAGACACGTGTCAGAGACTGAAGAATAACTTTCTAGGCATGTTTGAGACACAGTGGAAAGTGGGGGAGCTAGACAGGTATGGAGGAGCCCTTGGTGTCCCATCTGCCCACATTCATCAGGCTTCCCAAGCAAAGTGGGTCCGAGAGGGATGTGACCCTGTCCCAATTCTGGCCCCTCGCCTCCCCTCTCACTTCCAAAGGGTCTGAAATACCCCTGGAGAAGATGTGACCGTGTATCATAGCATCTGCCAGGTCAGCCAGGACTCACTCCCGTGCCCTCAGCCGCTGTGCCAGATGTCTGGGGGAGACCAGAGCTGAGCCCCCGAGAAGCACCTGGCCATGCAAAACCGGGGAAAGGATCACAACAAGGGTATGGATGAAAACCCAAACTGTCTCTGCTACAGCGAAAAACTCTCCAGTGTCTCACACACACACACACACGAAGTGGGTCAATCCCCAAGCATACCTGGCTGAGGCCTCAAATCTCACCCAGCCCAGGCACGAGGGAGCTCCGGTTCACCAACATGCATCGCTTTGGGAAAACAATTCTACTTCCATGATGGTGGGAAATCACGTTCCTTTCCGACTGATCCAAGAGCATTTCCTGTGGAGGCGAGCCCTGCTGTTCTGGGTCATGAAGAAGCCACTTGAACATACATGAAATACCTGCTCTAGAGCCCAGAACACTAGTTGCAACACAGGACAGGTGCTCAGTAAACAAGTTTGCCATTCTTGTTGAGTGCTACTCCAAGGCTGGGTGTATCCTGAGGACAATCAGGGGAGACCAAGCTCTTGAGTACTCATATCCTCCCAGAGGAGAAGAGCTGCCCATAGGAATCACTAGGATGTGAGACAGGAAGGGACTGGGACCCTGAGGAGGAGGCGTAGGAAAATGAAAGAGAGGTGATCGGGGCAGTCTTCCCGGAGACAGCATTTGCAGAAAAGTGAAGTTCTTGGCAGGGGTTGACAAGCCTCAGCCCCTGGGATGGCCAGACCCAGGCCACCACCTGCATCTGTATGGCCCAAGAGGTAAGAATAGTTTTGTACTTTTGTAATGGTTACATTTTAAATGGTTATTTAAGTAATGACATAATATCCTCAATTTTGCTTCTTGGCCAATAAACCGTATTTTTATGATCTGATTCTTTAAAAATGCCTGCCAAGTCCTCTCACTGAGGCACAAAAAAACCCAGATGGTAAATAAAAGCCATCGCTAATGTTCACTGAGAGCTTGCTGTGGGCTGTGTGTGCTGTACCCTTCGGACACTATTGAAACTTCAAAATAATCCTCTAAAGGGATCTCTTCCCCACTCTTGCAGAGGAGGAAACTGAGTCATGGAGAACTGAGGAACTTGTCCAGAGTTGCACAGGCAGTGAGAGTAGAGCCTGATCCAAAGCTGTCCTCTCAATCACCAACTGAGATGCCTGTCCAGTTCCCTTTGGAGAAAACACATAAGCCATGTGTTTCAGCATAGGACATGGTGTGAGAAAAGCCCGTCTGCCTTGGGGGAAAAGGAGGCAGGGGCCAGAAATGAGAAGCCAATAGAAACAAGCAAATTCTCTCAAGCCCTCAGCTCAGAACGGGCACCTTGGCACTCCACCTTACTCCAGCGGACGCAGCGAGGCATGGGCCGGCCCAAAGTCAAGGGCGCTCTCACCTTTTTTTTTTTTTTTTAAAGATTTTTTATGTATTTGACAGAGAGAGAGGGGGGGAGAGCCGGGGAGAGCAAGCACAAGCAGGGGGAGCAGCAAGCAGGGGAGAAGCAGGCGTCCCGCTGAGCAAGGAGCCCGATGTGGGGCTCGATCCCAGGCGCTCTCACCTTTTATGAAGGGAACTGAAAAGTCACACGGCAAAGGGCTGGACCCAAGGAGAGGTGAAGAACTAGAGCAATAATTCAACCAGCTGAGCCAATTATTTTAGGACAATATCCAAGATGCATTTTGGACACTTGCCCGAGTGGACGCTGCTCCTCAGCCCATGTACGTGTTCTCTCCGAGAGTCGCATCTGAGGCAAACTCGTGATGTCATCGCTCACATAAGGGGGGAGGGGTTAATATCTGTACGTAACCCACCACCTTGAAAATGAAGCGGGTCACATCTCCATCTGCCACCTTGCACATGATGTAGGTGGCATCTGTTTAACCCACCACCTGACCCCTTCATTCTGCCACCTCTCCAGCAAGGCCCCCCAGGGAGACCTGAGCAGAGACAGAGAGGAGGCTGAGCACAGGGTCCTGAGAGTGCCCAGCTAGCTCTGCGAGGCCCCGTTCCACCCCACACCGTCCCCCAGGCGCCCCTGCCTGACCCCAGCGTTCCTAACTGCTGTGTTCCCTGCCTCCACGACCAAGTCCTCTCTCTCTTCCATATTGCATATCACGGCCCCCCACAGCATCTCTCCCTCCCGCGTCATGCTCGATTCCTCAATCTTGTTTTAACAGAAGAGCAAGGTAAAGAAGTTTCATAGACCAGAGTCACTCGTCACGCACTCAATGAATCAGAGCCACAGTGACTGCTCGAGAGACCAGGGACCCCAACCCATCAGACAGAGCTCTGACGCCAAGGCCAGGGGAGCGACTCTGCGTGGGCTAGCGTGTGCGTGTGCATGCGTGTGCGTGTGTGTGTAAAGAAATAGGCCCTGAAAACTTTTTGAAAATGCCTTCCCGGGCGCCTGGGTGGCTCAGTCGTTAAGCGCCTGCCTTCGGCTCAGGTCATGATCCCAGGGTCCTGGGATCGAGTCCCACATCGGGCTCCCTGTTCGGCGGGAGGCCTGCTTCTCCCCCTCCCACTCCCCCTGCTTGTGTTCCTGCTCTCGCTCTCTCTCTCGCTCTCTCTCTGTCAAATAAGTAAATAAAATCTTTAAAAAAAAAAGAAAATGCCTTCCCAAATCTTAATAATTTCCAATTCTGGTAATGAATAACTAAAATAATTCGAACCAACCCTTGTGCTGAAGCTAAAAAAAAAGACCTAGACAAAATATTTTTTAAATGTTTAAAGCACTTAAAAATTAACAAGATAGTAAGGGACTCTGAGGCCCAAGTAGGATGGGAGCAAGAGCCCAGAGAGCGGAGGCCAGCACTGGGAGCTGCCTTGCCCTGGGGCATCTGAGATCCTGAAGGAACAGCTGGTGTTCAGATCAGCCTGCTGGGACAAGGGAACGGAAGTCATGCCCAAGGCCCACCCCAGGTGGGAGTCTTATTACCACCCATCTCGCTGAGACCCCAAAGGTCACCAGGGTTCATCAGGGTGAATAAGCAGAGGCACAGCCCCACATCACACGTGTCCTCAACAACCCCTCTTCCCCGCCCAAAACGCTGGGTCCTCCCGATGGCCAGGGGTACCCTACAGAACTGCCGCATTAAGATGGAATAGAATGCTCATTTGTGAAGTGATTGCAGAAGGTCCCTGCTGCTGAATTTCTGTTTTTATTTAAGGATGCACCGTTAGTCATACCTATGATGGCTTTGGTGGCGCGTTTCTGCCTAAGGGAACACGCCATTCCCTTTCTGACAATCGACGCCGTGACACGGTGTCCAGGCTCACACAGCAGCTGACCACGGACCCTGCCTCTGTAAATGCAAATTTGTGAAACGCTGTGTTTATTTAAGCCACTGTACTGCTGAGCAGGAAGCCTAGAGCCAGAAAAGCTTGGGTTCAAATCCCTGTTTTGCCACTTAGAGGCTCCATAGCCACAGGCAAACGGCACGTGCTACCAAGTCTCGTCTTCCTTAGCCATACAATATGGATAATGGGGACGATGACACCACAGGCAGGCATGGGGAGATACCAAACGGGAGGCCCAGGGCCCGGCCTTCAGCTATGGAGAGCTGAGGCACTTAGGAAACTATTAGCATTAGCCGAAGTGTGATCCCGGATACCCGAGCTTATGATAGACACAATAATTGTAATGCTGGTAGCCAGTCATAGTAAGAGCTATTGCAAATGGGCCAGAGTTGGCCCAGGAGTCTAGAAGTAATGGCTTCGACCATCCTAAAGTAAGTAATTAAAAGACTAATATTTTTACAAGGGAGTAAGACCCCAAGACTAGCATCACGGGGCTTGTAAATAGAAGACTTGCTCTCTGACTCCAGAGGCCGCCGGGGTCTGTTTGGGAGATAAGAAATGCACACGCAATGTACATGAGCAGTTGGGAGGCCCCACAAGAAAGGAAATGAGATCCTAGTGGGGTTGGAGGCGGGGAAGTGGAAGGGGCTGGGAAGGCAACCCAGGGCTCCGGGAGATTCAGAAATGACTTCAGTTGAGCCAATGGGGAAAAGGTGGCTGTGGATTACTGTGCACTGTGGGGGAGAGGGCAGCTCGGAAAGTTTGCACCCCCAAACAATAAAGGCAAAGGAGAGGCCGGAGAGGCCAGCGGCCGCCCCAGGCAGCCCCAGGGGGATCTGCAGCTGGTATCTGCTCCAGGGGCCTCCACCCTCCCTGGGCCGGCGAGGGAACCAGCAGGAGGGTCTCTGCAGAGCCTCACTCACCCTTGCTGACATCACCACGGGCCACGGGAACGCTGTGATCACCGTTGGCAGCCTTCTCAGAGCTCTTAGTCCTCACGCCTTTTCTGTTGCTATTTTTACCTAAAAAGAAGGACAGAGAGGAATGCCTTTACTTCCACATATGCCAGAGCCCTCCCAGGACGGTGAGAGCTCCACTATCTTCTGCAAAGCAATGTCTGCCCCCTCTGTGTCCCCTGTCCCCGGTTGATGGCACCCTGGACTCTGAGGTGCTTGCTAGAGGTTATAGGAGATGCAGCTTGTGATTGTGAACACCCAGGGAAATAAACACTCCTTCAGAGAGGGAGATAAACCTAAGAGACTCTTCACCGTAGAAAACAAACTGAGGGTCGAGGAAGGGGACGTGGCGGGGGGAGGGAGTAACTGGGTGATGGGCATTAAGGACGGCACGTGATGTAATGAGCACTGGATGTTATATGCAACTGATGAATTACTGAACTCTACCTCTGAAACTAGTAATACACAATATGTTAATTAATTGAAATGAAGTAAAATTAAAATAAATTTTAAGAAAGAAAGAAAGAAATACTCTTAATAAAGACAATGTATACCTGTCGGTCGTCACTATTCTAAGGCTGCAAAAATTCCTTGTGGTAGTACTTTGACCGCTCTGGGGCCCAGAGTGACACCACACCTAACTAACTGATAACACGGAGCTGGAACTCCAGACTTCTGACCCCAGAGCTAGCGTTTCCCACCATGCTGGGCTCCTCCTTCCAATTCTCTCCAAAGGCCCTGGCTGGGTACCTGGGGGTGGGAGGCGGGGGTGATGCTCCCACCAATAGCAGAGATCCTTTCCAGGGCCTAGGAAGGCTACCTGCTCATGCCCCTGGCCCCTTCAGCTTCCTCTCACACTGAGCTCCCTCTCTCTACTCCTGAAACACCAGCCTCTTTGCAGCCTTCAGCTCATGTGCTGTTCCCTCCTCCTGGAGCACCCTTCCATTCATCTCTGTCTAATTGACTCCTGCTAATTTTGCAAATCTCAGCTCTGGCATCTCCTCTTTTGGCTTTCCTGAACTCCCCACCTAAATCAATGCCTCCTTTGGTGGACTCTGATAGCACCTGTCTTAGGTCGAGTTGCCTTTAAGCAGAGCTTGATGTAGAGGTTCAGCTGGACATGATACACTGGGGGAGGGCTCTAAAGGGAAAGGGGAGGGAGCAGGATGGGGCAGAGGAAGGAGCTAAGTAAGGCTGTCCTCCCCCTCAGCCAGAGGCTGACTCAGCCTGATACCACGCGGAGCTCTGCAGTGGGAACCACACACAGCACTGTCCCCACCTTGAGACCAGAAGCCACCTTTTCTACTGCTGGTTAGCCTCTGCCTACAGATGGACCAACTGGGGCATGAGAACCAGGCTTCCAGGGGCAATGCTCCAGGGAAAGGATGGGCTATGAGCCATCACAGTCAAGACCCCAGCGGCTGGGATAGGGGTGCACCTGCAGGAAAAGGGCTCCTACTGCAGGTGCACCCACCTGTGCTGAGCAACACGTAACATAGGCCGGTCTGCTCGTGAGGGCCGGCACTGTGTCTGGTTTTGCTTACTGCTCTGTCTCTGGAGTCTGGTGCAGAATGAGCTGTGATGAATGAGTGAATGGACATGCTAATGAGTCACTGAATGACAAACTGACAAAAATAAGAGGAGGGGCAGGAGAAGGATACTTAGCTTGGACTTTAAAAAGCAAGTCGAAATACCAAAAACATTTAGTGGACTGTGTGCCAATTAATGAATCATTTCAGTCTGTTCTACGGTCTTCCCCCCCTCCCCACCCAAAAAAAAGATACTTATCAAGAAAACCTTTAATCTTCAAAAAATTCAAAGGCCACGTGGGGTCCAGCCAAGAGTAATGCTCTCTCCATCAACTTCTGGGGCAATGCCTGCTGGGAGTATCATTCAGTTTTCATGTCAGTGTCCCCCTCAGGTCCAGAAAGTCAAAACATCAGAATGTTCAGAAAGGCCAGCGGAAGAGAGCTGACCCAGAGGACCCAGGAGCACCTGACATCAGCCTGGTGTCACCTCAGCATCAGTCCCACTTCTGTGGGTCAGAATGTCACGGCCAGTGATCTCCAAAGACGGCCCCTTCTGAAGGGGCCTGACTAGGGGTCTGCAAAGACCTTGATTGGTCAGAAAAACTGGTGACATCACTTTTAAGAGTGTGGAGTCTGATTTGGCAGAAAGATAAGATGTTAAGGGGGAATAAAGTTTTACAAAACATGTAAGGAAAAAGCCAAAGTTCTGGAAAAGAATGTTCTATCCCAACCCTCCCCAGAAGTTGGCCATTGGTTGCAAGCCTTCTGTCTCCCAGGGCAACCTCTCTGGGGCCTCCGTGACAACACAGGAGAAGAGTCAAAGAGCATGGCCTGGTGACACCCTCAGCCTCACCCCCCTGTGTGCTGGATCCACGCCCGTGACGCACACGCCCCCACGCAGCTCTTGGCAGCCGACAAAGGCCCAGATGCAGATGCAGGGCAGATGTCAAAGCTCTGAGAGTCTCACTCCCCAGGGGACCGGCACGTGGGCAACAGAATCCCCCGAAGGGGTGGCAAAGGAGCAGAAACCACAGGCGGGGCCCTTCCACCTCCTCCAGGGGGCGCCCTTCCAGCTCATGGCGGGGGGGGGGGGGGGGGGGGGGGGGGCGGATCTGGTCCCAGCCACAGCAAGGACCACGGGCGTGCCCTCGGGTGACGCATGTCACCTCCCGAGGAGCCACTCCCTCATCAACAAGACAAGCACCTGCTCCCGTGGAAGCTATGGGGAGGAAACAAACAATACATGTCAAGCGCCTCGGGCCGCGTCGGGCCTGCAGCAACCACCCAACAGAAGACAGAGGCTGTCCTTCCATCCCGGATTCGTCATCAAGCCCCCGAGTGGCACAAAGTGCCATCCCAGCTGCTGAAGAATCACGGCTCACCCGCGGGGCCTGATTCACAGTCTGCAAGGCGGCACCTTCACGGGGATGACGACACTGGACCTCGGCAAGTTCCCACTGAGGGCAGGAAGCTTGCAATGAACGTGACTTTACAGACAGGGACACAGGGGTACAGAGGGGGGAAGACACCCACCCAAGGGTCGGCCACAGAGCCAGGAGGCGGCAGAGCGGAGAGCGGACTCCAGGGCGAGGCCCTGCCCAGGCCTGTCCTCTCTCTCGCCGCAAGAAAGGCAGCTCACGGTCGGCAGGGATGAAAGACAAGCGTTCAGTGCAAGAAGTGTGCAGAGAAAGAAATCAACAACTCCATCTGGGCCGCGTGACAAAACCGAATTCCTTAAAAGTAGCAAGCGAGGTGCCGACGCGGGCCACATGTTCTATTCTGGGCGATGGTGATAAACATCATGCTTCTGGGTTGACAGGAAACTATTTTTTCCCCTCTCTGTACAAGGAGCTTACAGTAGCAACCCCACCCCCCCCAGAAACCGAAAAAATTCTTTGCTGCATATTTGCATTTTCCCCAGGAAATTCCAGCCCCACAGCATCTGCTCTCTCTCTCTCTCTCTCTCCTGAGGGAATCAGCCCAGGGCCCTAGGCTCCCCTCCTGCCTTGTGCTAAGGAACCCACAGGATAGGAAAGGCCTCGCCCGAGGGGCGCTGCCCGGGAGTGCCAGGTCTCACAGGCCAGCAATCACAGCTTTCTAAAGCACTGCAACACAGGCAGGTCTGCAGAGAACCCTCTGGAGCGAGGGCCAGCAGGACTGCGCAGGTGTGGTTGGAAACGCGTGCTCCGTGTGGCTGTTAGCAGGCCAAGGGCCCTGACGCAGGGAGGTATCCAGTTCTGAGAAAGGCAGGCTACCGGTGGAAACAGCAACTGGGGGAGCGGGTAGATCCTGAAAGGCAGGCTGAGTGGTTGAACGAGATGCTTGGCTCCGTTCATCGGTGACCTTGAAGGTCTGGGGTGGAGATGGGGGCACGAGGGCAGTGTTCTCAGTACTTTTTGACCAGGGCCAGGCCAAAATCAACCCATCAACCAATCAGTCTAAAGCTTTCCCCTCCCCGCCTGGCTGTGTCTTCCCTGGGAAACTAGGTGGCCATCCTCTGTTCTTCTGGGCCAGCCTTTCGTGTAGACTTGGGTCTCCCTCAGGGCCCGAGGGAGATGATCTATGCAGCAGCGGACACCTTCCTGACTTGCAACCAAATAAGAAGCCCTTTGCTTTTCTAGAGCCAGCACAGTTAAGAGCAGCAGATGCAGACTCAGGGGGCGCTGGGTAGGGCACCGGGCTCACTGGCCTGTCTCAGTCTGGCTTCCATCTGGAAAGAGCCCGAGATGCAGCCTTCCTTAGGTGCAGACGTGCATCTGGGAAGGGACTTCATGAAGTTCAAGTAAAGAAGTGGAAGGAGAAAGACCTGGAGAAGGAAACTCCAGTAACTCAGGCTGTGTGCAGAGCAGGACCCATGAGGACTCAGCCTGGCTGGGGACTCTTGGGAAGAGGGTAGAAGGTACCCCTGAACCATGTCCCAGCGCGGGAGGCTGGAAGTTGACCCGTCATACCTCTGGAAGCATGGCTTTATCATCCTTGCCGTGTCATGGTGAGGAAGCCGAGGCTTGGAGAAGTCACCCATGCCCGTGAGCGGCAGAGCCAGATTCTGGTCCCAGCTCTCTCTGAACCCTGAACAAACTGCCAAACAACCACACGTGGTTTGCATGATCGAGCATTCCATAAAAATCTGGGACAGTGGAGTCTTAAATTAACACTCTGGAGGTGTTTTGTGCCCCTCCAACCATTCTATGATGCCTGGATGAGTAGCCAACTGGATGCCAGCCGGTTATGGACACCAGCCCTTCTCCCTGGCCAAGACACCCTAATTTCATGGGTCTCGTGACTGAAGAGTGGCAGCATGGTGGCAGGGACCTCAAAAGGCCACAGAGGGCAGAGCCATTGCTGGAGATGCCAAGCCTGAGTACTCAGGCTCCCTGGCCCCATTATGGATATTGAAAGAGAGCCTCACCTCCACACTCCCACCTCCAGGGGCCCTGGCTACCCTTGGCCCGGCACTGAAGGCACCATCTGCCATGAGATCTGACAGCCATGGACACCTGAGGCCCATGGAAAACATGATGGCCAGTTTTAAGAACC